AAATATATTTATATTGCTTATTATAGCATAAAAACGTGATCACGGTCGCACAGAGAAGAAACATAACTTTTCCTTGAGATGTGAGAATAACAAGCACAACAAATTTGACGGCTAATAATCTGAGATTTGCCTGTGTAAACGGGGTGATTAAAAAACGAGCTTTGATTGTGATAATATTGATATGTGAACATAGTTTATGAGTCAAACCACGCCAACTGTGTCAATGAATTTTCATTGATTTTCTGGAAAGTGAAGACAATTGTGGGAATCTGTAGATAATTATAGAACAAAAATACACTTTGGACGGTTTTTCGAAATTGCACTTCGTTTTTGTTTTTTTGGTATTATAAGAATATTGCAATTTTTGAGAAAAAATTTTTTTTTGAGAGTTACTGAAGCTTTTCTCTTTACAATAAGCCTTGAGTAAATAGCTATTTTCATGTAAGCTCGTGTGAGTGATAGCATTTTTATGTTAATTAATGAATAATTATACAAGTACGTACATTATTTAACGTATAACTTGAAACATCAATGTTTATTTACAACTTATGTTTATTTACAACTTGAGAAAAAAATCGATAGCGATTGTCAAAATTGGTAAGACCAATTTTTTCTTTTTGGAATTTAAAAACAAGAGTTTAGAGTATATTGTGCCAAAATTTCACTGCAATCGCGGGCCTAGAATAAATAAATAATTGCAATTGTTTAAATTATTGTTATTAAAGAATTATTTGTTTTGCAAATTTTATTCTGCAAATCTTTTTAATGTAAAGGGAAAAGCTTCAGCAACCTCTCAAAAAAAATTTCATCAAATTTCATCAAATGGGTCGCGAGTTACGAATTTTTCTCTCAAAAATTGCAATATTCTTATAATACCAAAAAAACAAAAACGAAGTGCAATTTCGAAAAACCGTCCAAAGTGTATTTTTGTTCTATAATTATCTACAGATTCCCACAATTGTCTTCACTTTCCAGAAAATCAATGAAAATTCATTGACACAGTTGGCGTGGTTTGACTCCTATGTAAATATGTAAATGTAAACGAATAATGTATAAAAAATGTAGGGAATTTTATATTCTACTTTCGCTGGCTCTATAATTTTTCATAAAAGAAAAACCTTTCAGAACGACTTAGTTTAGGAAAATGTGTATCTGCTAATAATATTAGTAAAGAGGCGGCAAATGGATTGTTAGTTTCTCATAAGGTATTCAGTACAATATTCTATATATATAAATGTGAATGTCTGTTTGTTTATTACCTTATAACTTTTGAACCGCGACACGGAATCGCACGAAACTTTGCACACTTATTTGTTTTTAGCCCGGGAAGGTTATAGGCATAGAAAAGGGGGGCGTGGCACCTCCCATACTAACTAAAATTTTCATGTTGTATATCTCTTAAAATATTTGTGGTAGAGTACTGAAACTTGGTGTCGAGATAAACGAAATTACTTCTTTACTCATGCGAAAAAATGGGCGGAATTGGAAAAGGGGACGTGACACCTCTCGAAGGCTTGAAATATTTACTTAGCTATAACTTCGGAACCGTAAGTCACATGACTTGAAATTTGGTATGCATATGTATCTCCGGTAGGTGCTTTTAGTAAGGTATATATATAAATGAGTCTGTAAAAGGGGGCGTGGCACATCCCAAAGGCGTGGAATTCTTTATCAGCTATAACTTCGGAACCCTGTGTCGGCCGCTGTGCTGCAGTGGTAAGCAGTGCGCGCTTCCACTCCGCAATGCCTGGGTTCAAGCCCTAGTCAAAGCAACATCGCAAAAAAATATAGAAAACGGTTTTTTCTTAACAGTGGTCGTCCCTCGGCAGGCAATGGGAAACCTCCGAGTGTATTTGTGCCATGAAAAACAGATTCTCATAAAAATACAACCGCCATTCGTAGTCGGCGTAAAACTGTATCGAAAATAAAATCTATGACAATTGCATTGGAAAATGCATTTATGTTAACACAGGCTTTAAAGTATTAAAAGCATGTTGTGAAATAATATTAGAGTTATTATCCTAAAGAAATTAGATAGCCAAAATTTTAATATTAAATACAACATTGATATTTCTACTATTACTTGCATACATATATAATTTATTGGAGATATTTTGATGTAAATGAAAAACCTGCTGTGCCAAAAAGTTATTATTACATTTCATTACATAACACCCAAGCTATACAACTGTCCTTCCGTATTCTCCTATAGTAAAATTAGAGCAGAAATAAAATATAACATCTTTACATAAATTATTTTTCATATATGTATAAAGACGTGGGGTGAAACCCGCGGGTAAAAGCTAGTTTCATATAAAAATAAAATCGTCTTCCTTTTTTATATCGGAAGACCAAAATAGCAATAGGACTGGGAAAAACATACGTTTGAAAAAATATACCAAGTGATCCGCTAAAAAGTCGTTTACAAACCTTTGAGAACGGCCTGCCACAAACAGAGCAACGCGTTGCGGAAAAAAGTTCGGTTAGCGATTATCGTTTTTCTTTGTTTCATCCGCACAGCGATATTTGGTCGGCTGGGATAGAATGGCAAAACGACATGCTGATTGTTTTTTATTCGTAATATTCCTAATAAACATTTAGGTTTGAGCTCAACTTGAGGTTAAGTAAAGATCTAAGGTATTTCTCAAATCTCCAACGTTGTTTCTCAACAGTACCTCAAGTGGAGGATCATAGCGTTCTCAACAAAAAGGGCAATTTTCTTTGTATGAAAAAGGACTGTTTCTCACGTTGAGAAAATCCTAGTTCTCAACTTGAACTCCAATTGGTCTCAAACATATCATTGAAATACTGAAATTGAAATAGTAAAATACCTTATACCTTTTTGATTGAAACGACATACAAAGATGAATTTAAATATTAATTTTTCATTTTATTACTCCTTTTATATTATGTAGTTAATTAATATCCTATTACAATAATTCACTACACAGTATACAGTCCGACAGTAATTTTGCCACTTGATTCACTCCGCCTTTTATTTTATTTCAAGATTATTTGAGGATACTTTGAAGATTATTTACTTTTTGTTGGTAATTGTCCTCTTTATATAGCTTTCTTTTTTAACTTGATAATTAAAAATTCGTTTCGTTATCACTTTTTACGTATGTGCGCGTCGGTTAGAGATGAGTTGGAGAATCATGTTGGATATCAACTTGAGAACTATGTGTGCTTTTACACAGTTCAAGTATTGAATTCAATTCTGCTCGGACATGGAAGAGAGGGGGTGAGAAGAAAAGGGACGAGTACACATGCGTCTGTACCGTCAAGTCGTTTCAACTTTCTTGCTTTGCTTTTGGCATTTTCGTTGCTTCCCATTTAAAGAACCAAAGACTTGAATTCAACAGAATTGAAACGTGTAACTGCCGTCCCTAAATTGGAGCGCTAAGCGTTACGTTATCCATTGTCAACGAGTGTCAGCGCGCGCTATCCCCAAATCAACGCGTCGTAATTTTTGACGTTTTCTCAGGTCCTCTCGTTTTTATTCTCGTTTCCTCTTTCACTTGTTTGTCCTTTCTCTTTCTTTCCGTTTTCTGCATCCAACTTCAACACGTAACGCCCTGTCAAAAATGAAAATTCCATTTGCTCGGCGTAAGCGCCGCGTTATTGTGGGATGCTTCATACAAATTGTATGGGCATGAGGATTTTTGACAGTTGCTTGGCGCTTGACGCGCCAATTTAGGGATGGCAGTAAAAGCAAATAAAAACACAAAAGAGAATGAGCAAGAATTGCTTTCAAGTACTTGAATCATGTAAATCAGGTGTATGAATTTCTCCAAGGTTGGAGAAATATTTTTTTGGTGTTTATTGGGATTGGCACATGCTTGCCACATTTTTTGTATGTACTTTACAGAGCCAAAAGAAGCGTGTTTTTAATACACTTTGATTTTAGATTTTTATTTGCATGCGTTTGCTACAAACCAAACACAAAATGTATGACCCTGAATGGGAACTACAATTTGAGTTAATAAATGATGGTAATATATATGTACATGAGTTAAAATTACTTTGGAATTTTTATAAAAAGAACACAAATGACACGCTTTATTTCAGAATAATTGGATTCTAGCTATATAAATATATAAGAAATTTTAATGCTGGTTTATACCCAAAAATAATGGATAATATTTATGAGGTAAGCTATTTTTTACAATTATATACCTATTTATGTGAAAGCACATTTTTATGAAAATAATAGAACTTAAACATTGAAAGATTTTAAACCAATAAAATGGTACACAAGTATTAAACGAAGGAATTATACCAGTCAAAATTTTTTCAAAATAGCACTGCCTTCGTGTGCTCAGCATCAGTGTTACCAGTTGAGCTATTTTGTAGGTATTATTTTCGAAGTTTAGCTATAGAAATTTGCGTTTAGCTATTAGCTTTTTTAAATCGAGTTAGCTATTTTAGATACAAATTTTTTTTTTATAAATTCCCCACTTTACATAAAGTTTTATCATTTTGATGAATATCAAACGTTACAACAAAAAAATTGGTATAAGTGGTAGCAATCAAAATATGTAGTAAAACTTCGTTTGTAGATTTTCTCTCGTATGTCAGGTTTCTTTAAAAGGACCTTGTAATTTTAAAGATATAATTGCTTCAAAAAACTATTTAAAAAATTCAGTGCAACGTAAAATAACAAATGAAAAACGAAATTCCATGGATTAAAACAAACAGCATTTTTTGGTTTACGACGACTAATGGGTATTGAAAATAATTAATTAAAAATTTTACTAGCAGAAACTAGCAGCTGTCAAAATGAATAAAAAAAATCTCGCCAAATATTTACAATAGTCAAATACACTGATCAGCTGTTTACTTGCTAGTTTTGTGTTTCTTTAGTTTTTCATTATTTCGCTCTCTGTGAGCGTAACTCTCTCAATTTTACCATTCTTCTTCTTCCTGATAATTATCTGCTAGAAAAGAAAAGAAACAAAGCCATTACTCTGCTATGCTGTTACTGATCGACGATGCTATTAGGCGCCTGTCTTACCATCAATACGGATCGCGATATTTGGATTCCCATCCTGGATCGTGCCGTGTAGCATTGATGGATCGCGGTCAATATCACAAGAGTTCTAAATATTTTGAAATCCATCAATATGGATCACGAATCAAATATCGCGATTCGTATTGATGGTGTGACAGGCGCCTTAGTAAAGCCAATGCGAGCGTGATAACTTAACTTTATGCAATAGTTGATAATATGAAAAGATAGAGAAATAAAATATCTTTCAGAATTATAAAATAAAAACCAATTTAAAATACATAATATGCCTTTTTTTAAGGTCACACTCAACTGTGTGCGTACGCAAAGCATTCGACAAGTTTTGACAAATATGTGTGAGCGTCCATAAGAATACAAAGGCGAATACGAGCGAAATTGCTCCCGATCAAGGAGCACAATACAATGCTTTGCAAGTAGTTCCTTGTTGGGAGCCATAGATGTGGTCACCCGAATCGGCAGCTGCATGCAGAGGAGCCCTCGCCCAGGCACGTCAGGAGGCATCTCTACGAACTGACGGACGAAGTTCAGAGGTTCATTTAACAACCTCTGGACCCGTCAGCATATCGACAGGCCCTGAACGGCATTCACAGGGAGTCAGTCTCGAGTTATGTAGACGCCAGACCTCTGAATGCCGTTCTAGGTGCACAACCACCGGACATTGACGAGACAGAGCTTCATCTGCCTCGGGAGACAAGAACCACAATAGCCCAACTTCTCTCTGGCTACTGCAGCAAATTAAACTCATATCTGATCAGACTAAACGCAGATGTAACAAATGAGTTTCCGGCATGCAGAGAGACACCTCATCACTCGAAAGATCTCTTCGTATGCGCGGAAACCCCAACAACCCTAACGCCTTTGTCCCTGTGGACCGACCCTATTGAGGCTGCACGCTTCTGCTGTTAGTGGAACTTGACGACAACGACTGAGATATTGGGCCTCCGCACACTGGACTGCTCAGTCCGCCTAAAACCGGTTTTGTGTGGATAAGAGGGCGAAGAGAGTTCGAGTTTACCTCGCTTATTTCAGTCCGCGAAAATCGAGGATTGACGGTGGACTGACACGCACAAATAGAAAACATGTTTTCTATTTCGTTTTGTTTGCATGTGCCACATGCACTAACACAATCATGCGTGGTTCAGGTATACAAAACTGAAACCTGTTTTCGGCCGACTGCCCAGTCCAGTGTGCGTTGGAGTGGTGGACTGCTCAGTCCGACTGAGCAGGCTAGTGTGCTCAGGCCCATTAACCGATCTGGGCGGGCCGCTACAACAACAACAACGACAACGATGCACCAAATCCAAGAACGATAGAATACAAGATTGCGCCAATCGAGCTGAGAGCAACTTGGTGTGACGACACATTATTTTGGGAATGAGAGTGTAAAGAATAATTTTCAAGAAGAAGAGGAAGAAGCGAACAAGTGGTGCGAAATAGTGATGCAAAACTAGGTTGAATTGTACCTACTCATCAGCTTCTTAAATTTGAACGTACATTCGGTACAAGCTCATTATTTTAGGTACATTTGGAACGTAGTAAACAATTATTTCATGTAAGTCCAAAATTTGTTATGGTACAGAAGGAAGATGTAGTCCACCAACTATCAAAAATATATGCACATAAAAATACGTGTTTACTGTTTAGGTACGTGCATCTACTTTAGGTACAACTTTCCGGCAAATAGGTGTAATATGAAAATTTAATATTCATCACTTGTGCGAAAAAATAATAATGTGACGTCAGCGAAAGGGTGGATGCTGTCAAACCGAGAAAGAGAGGATTGGCAGTCCGCGGAAGGCGCCACCTTTGTTTCGCTGCATCGTGCGTCTCACCCAGTTACTCCCAGCTCGATTGGCGCAATTTTGTATTCTATCATTCTTGGCAAGGCAAATTTATACAAGGTGGTGTTACTGGCGATTTTACATTTTCGCCGCGGTACTTCCTAATGTCAAAATGATGTGTTTGTTGTAAACAAGGCGAATTCATATTACAACAAACACATCATTAGGACATTAATGCCCGGATTATAATTGAAGTAACGGAACGGAGTGAACTGTCACTTAATTATCTATTGTATGGGCAATGAATTCAAACGATTATAATGAACCTGAACGCAACGTAAAACGGAAGTATCTAAAATCAATAGATCTTTACGAATTCGCCGCGATTTGTTACGATTCGCCCCGTGCATTATAACCAAGGTATAAGAAGTAATAGTAGGTTCACATATAAGTAGATTATCCTCATTTTCGAGCTTAACTCCCTAATCTGTAATTAGAAAGAGATTAGCCATATAAAATTCGTCCCTTGATAATCTGTAATTATAAAATAATCTCAGATTTTACCGATAACTTTTCGGTGTCCATCCTAGTTTTATCGGTTGTTTTTGCGAAGAAGAGGAGAAATGGCAAATGTAAAAGTAAACAAAAATGGACGCTAGCAAGGAAAAGAGGTTTGTAAAGGTATTTTTAATAAAATGCTAAGTTAAAATATATTTATATTGCTTAATATAACAGAAAAACGTGATCACGGTGGCACAGAGAAGAAACATAACTCTTCCTTGAGATGTGAGAATAACATGCATACAAAATTTGACGGCTAATAATCTGAGATTTATCTGTGTAAACGGGGTGATTAAAAAACGAGCTTTGATTGAGATAATATTTATATGTGAACATACTTTAACACCACCTTTTTTAATTTCGCCTTGATTCTTGGTTAGTAATCGTACCAAGGTGAATTTATACAAGGTGGTGTTGATGACGAATTTAGATTTTCGCCACGGTACTTCTTAACGTCAAAATAGTGACTTTGTTGTAATAGTTGTGTTTTTTTTTACAAATTATCCAGTAACTTGCCAGCAACTCTCCAGTAACTTAATTTCTAAGAATTCGCTCTCATAGAAAAAATTTACAAAAAAGTACGTGAACGCTTTTCCAGTAATAATTTGCAAGTTTCATGAACAGCTGATTAATTGGTTGTTTATTCGCAGCATATTCCTAATAAAACAATATATTTTATATTTAAATATGTTTATTTTGTGAATTTCCGCAATAAAATGCCAGAAACAGTTTCCTTTAAATTTCATCCAGCAACATGCGATCAGCTGTTTTTCGTACTGGCAAATTCTTACAAGTAAAAATTTATCCAGCAAAATCCAGTAAAAACTTGCAACTTCAGCTGTCATTTTTCGCTCTCTCAGTTTCCCCTACTTTGCAAGTTTTTGCGTACGAAAACGCCAAAACATGAAAATTCGTAAAAACTTTTACTGGATTTTACTGGAAATGAGTAAAAAAACGCAACTAATATGAATTCGCCTTGTTTATAACAAACACATCATTTTGACATTAATAAGTACCGCGGTGAATATCTAAATTTGCCATCAACCCTACCTTGTATAGTTCGCCTTGAATAGTACGCGACGATGCGGCGATGTCGAGTAACTTCGCTACTTTGGCATCGTGGTAATCGTCCGAAGTGTTAGTTAATAACTAGGAATTAAGCGATTAATTCAAGGATAATGGTAACAATACTAGCATTCCTTTGGCTTTGCATTTGGCCATTTCTTCAATTTAATGTTTCTTATTTTTTTTTAAGAAAGTGTAGCTCGTTATCTATCAAAAAACATGTTAGTAAAAATTTCAAACTTTTTCTTTAAACATTATGAGTATGCAGTGTTATAGCCCATTCAATTTTATTTTAATGAAGTGCAAATTTAAAGTAACTAGGACTTACTATTGATTTTAGTTTTTTTTTTTTTTGTGGAAGGTGGTGCGGATTTTCTCCATACAAAAAAAATCGAACATTCTTTGTTTGGAAGAAAATGCGTGAACAAAAAATTGTCAAAAATAAACACTTACCTAGGTACTTCAAACTTGCACTTTATTACACTAAAATTTAAAAAACTGCGTACTCCAAAAATTCTAAAAAATCTGATTTAACAGTTTTTAAATTTTGATGAACATTTGTTAAAATTGCGGAAAAAGTAAAAAGAATCGGCTAAGAATCGGCCGATGCCGATGCCAATTTTTTTGGCCGATACTAGCCGATGCCGATACCGATTAACTTTTTTCTTTTTTTTTTATCTTGTCAGAATTGTGTAGTTGGATCATGGGTGATTTCATGATACAAAAAAAAAGGTATTTTCACTTTGAAATTTTTTGACATAAACTGTGCTCATGACGTTTATACTTTTCGTAAATTGCTCGAATATCACTGCCACCTCAACAAATTATTGTTTTGGAAATTTTATTATTTTTTAAAGGAATTTTTTATGCATTAAAAAATAACAACACGCAAGGTAAATTTACTTAATTCATCGTATTAGCATAGCAGTTAATAAGTGTGTATTAATTTAAAATACCTTAATTTACCTTACCGCAAAAAAATTTGGCATTGTGTCGAGCCCTAACCACCAAAAATAATAAGCGAAATTTTTTTCAAAATTTTGTTTTTGATGCAGAAATATTCCTAGAGTACCTAGATGCGTTTCTGCATCAAAAATAAAATTTTGAAAACAATGTCGCTTACGTTATTTTGAAGGTTAGGGCTCGATATGCAGTGTTCCATGAGATATTATTATAGATATTAGGATGTTGCTTTAATTTGGACCCTTTTTAGAGAACATATGAATAAAGGAATAGTTAAAAAGTAGCTTATCATCAATAAAAGCACTATGGAAGCATAAACTTAGAGGGAGTTAAAACAATTTACAAATTTAGAAAAACTACTCGCTCTACTGCTGCTAGTGCAGCGTTTCGCTTGGATTGGGCACATCCGTTCCGAGGCTGAAAATTTTCCGCCGAAAATTGGTTGAAACAATCAAACAACACCTTGGTGAAGTTACCATGCACGTGGCCATCGAGAAGTATGCAGCTAATCGTACTAAATAATGATGAAAATGGTTGCATAAACAAATAGATTATCTATGTGCATTACGCAATGTAATAGGAGTATTTTACTTGCCATCCGTTTTATAATTAATTTTAGAAAATAAACCACTAAAAGGTCGCTATAAAATGATGCTCAAAACATATTCCTTGAAATAATTTTTAAAATAATTCTTTCTGAAGTAAAAAAAAACAAATTTAATTTCTTCAAAGAATATGGTAGCTTCCATGATAAAAGCATAGTAAGGTAAAACCGTTCTCTCTATGCGTCGGCCATAATTTTTTTTTTGAAGTTTGCCAACATTTTAAAATCGTATAAAAATGAAAGAAAACAAGTAAGAGCAGCGCTGTCTTCAGCTATGCCGAAGGCTCCATACCTTTCATGAGCATCTGAAAATTTTACGTTAACAGATTACTGCATTTGAAAAAATTTATATATTCACAGCAGACATAGAAGAGATACATATATAAAAAATTATAGCTAAACAATCAGAGGTATGGAAGATATACCTTATATAGCACCAATCTAAGTGATTTTCACTGCTGTGTGATCGGTACGTAAACCGGTAATACAATTTAATGGGTTTAGCTTTCTACATAAAGGAGATACATATATCGAAAAAACTGGTATCTGAACAATCAGTGGTACAAGAGATTAAGATTATACAGTATAGATTTTGACGATTTTCTCAGTAGACTTTGTATTTCTATTTAAAAATAAAAAATAGCTTACGAAATTTATCGGTTTTAGCTGTCAAAATAAAGGAGTTTTACAGTAAAACCACATATCTGAACAATCAGTTGTATGGGGGCAATAAACAGGTTATAGTGACCCGATCTTTGTTTATTTTACTGTAAACTTTCTGTTGATAATGAGTGAAAATAGTGCGAAATTTCATGTTTTTAGCTGCATAGATGGAGTAGTTATAACAAAAAATCGCATATCTGAACAATCAGTTGTATGGGAGCTATATGTAAAAGTGGCCCGATCTTTGTTATTTTCACTGTAAGTATTCTGTTAATAATGAGTGGAAACGGTGCGAATTTTGATGTTCCTAGCTGCATAAATGAAGAAGTTATGGCAAAAAATCTCATATCTGAACAATCAGTTGTATGGTGGATATAGGTTGTAGCGACTTGATCTTCGTCATTTTCACTGAAAGTATTCTTTTGATAATAAGTGACAACAGTGCAAAATTTCATGTGTCTAGCTACTTAAATGAAGGAGTTATAACGAAAAATCTTATATCTGAACAATAAGTTGTATGAGAGCTATATGTTATAGTGACCCGATCTTTGTAATTTTCACTCTAAGTTTTTTGTTGATAATGGGTGGAAGTATTGCAAAATTTCATGTGTCTAGCTGCATAAATGGAGAAGTTATAACGAAAAATCTCATATCTGAACAATCAGTTGTACGGGAGCTATATGTTATAGTGGTCCGATTCTTCCGGTTCCGACAAATGATTAATACATTATAAAAATGCACCCACCTACCAAATTTTATCCGGATATCTCGAAAACTAAGAGACTAGATTGCATACAAACAGACGGACAGACAGACAGACAGACAGACAGACGGACAGACGGACATGGCTAAATCGACTCAGCTCGCCGTTCTGATCATTTAAGTATACATTTTAATGGGTCTATCTCTTCTTATTCTGGTACTTACAAACATCGGACCAAAGTTATAATACCATTTCATGCTCATGAAAGGTATAAAAAGGAATTGCTCAAAGTTGTTGTTTGACATTGAAAATGAGAATGTGTGTGAATTGTGTGTAAAATTTTAAAATTAAATTGCTTGCAAACGTCAAGAATTTTAAAAATTCCTCTCAACGGTTCTACCTTCCTATTTTTTTATCATGGTAGCTTCAATTTAAAAGAAAACGTCAAAAGCACAGTTTACGTCAAATGGGAGCGATTGCGGATAAGAAGAAGTGAAACTACCTTTAAATATTTGTATCATGGGTGATTTCAACGTAAAAGTAGGCAAAGAAGAAAAATCGAATGTGAAGGGAAAATTCGGATTAGGAGACCGAAATGAGCGTGGACTCAGACTAGTGCAATTTTGGCAACAAGGATTTATTATAAAAGTGTGTTTGCATTGTTCAACTTCACGTTCAACATTTTCATTCAACTCAGCGCAGGGTTGCACGAAAAAAAAGTTGAGTGGCTAAAAATATCAAAATATGAAAAAATATCAAGATATTCGCCATAAAAAGGTGTTTGCATTGTTCAACTTTGCATTAAACTTTTGGTTGAACGGCCTTTCAACTAATCGCTTTCAACAAAGTTGGTCGCCAGCCAACATTTAGCCAATTAACTTTTTTTTCGTGCAACCCTGCGTTGAGTTGAACGCAAAGTTGAACAATGCAAACACTGCTTAAGTAACATTTACTGCAAATCCGGTGTAGCCGCTACAACAACCACAAAGTGCCAAAGAGAAGACTGTAAACATGGAAGTCTCCCAAAACAGAACGGGAAGCGTAAAACGTGGTCAAATTGACTAAATCAAATCGAATTTATAGAAGGTGGTGTTGATGGCGAACTTAGATTATCGTCTCGGTACTTCTTAATGTCAAAATGATGTGTTTGTTGTAATAGGAATTCGCCTTGTTTACAACAAACACATAATTTTGACATTAGGAAGTACCGCGGCGAAATCTAGATTCGCCATCAACACCACCTTGCATAAATTCGCCTTGGACTAAATCCTAATTAACAAAAAATTTACATCATCCATGATACGAAAAAAAACCTTTGAGCAGTGTATAAACCAAAAGTGTGCAAGGTAGTATATAAATATTAGGGCGGGTCGATTTGTAGGGGCCCAAAAAAAATTAACGGGAACGGAAATTTGGGTCATTTCAAGAATTTTTGCCTAAGAAACCATAGGTCTAAAATGAATTTCGAGCCAGCAATTTTTTCTATCTATTTTTTTTAAAAAGTGGCTCACCTGTTGAAATAAAAATAAATATATAAATATATAAATACTAGCGGTACCTCGGTGTGGTTCTCTGCACCAAATATTGAAAAATGAATGAAAAATCCTGGAATTTTTCTATATGATTTTTTTTTTTTAGTATATTGCAGCCATATTTATACGTGACTTAATTTATCCGAAGAACATCACATCACATCCACAGCACATCATAGCAACAATTTTTCACTATGTTTTCGATTTTATATGTAGCTGCTGTTTTACCATATACGTGGTACATGTGACGGACATAAACTGTCATATATCATGAACCGCTGGACCGAATTCGGGCACACGTCGCATAACCCATCTGCACGATAGTCCGAATATACCGTTTAAATTCGGTAGAATTCGCGCACTTATTTTTTTATTTAAAATGGGAGGTGCCACGCCCCCTTTTCCAATACCGCACATTTTTCTCCATGAGTATGGAATTATTTCATATGTCTCTATACCAATTTCCAGTAATACCACAAATATTTCAAGAGATATACCAGATGACAATTTTTGTTGGTATGGGTGGTGCCACGCCCCCTTTTCCGAATTCGGGGAAACTTACCACAAACAATCTACATAATAGCCCGACTATGCCGTATAAATTTGGTTGAAATATAGGTACATTAAAACAGGCTATTTATTTACATTTCCAAATGGGGTGAAAAATTTTGGATGTAAGATTTCATAAATACCTTTACCCGCTCCTAACACAGCCGTTTAACATGCATCAAACATGGTAAAATCAGTAAAAAAGGGCGGGCCGCGCTATCCTTTCATTTCTTTTCAGTCTCAACGGGCCCGAAACTTTAATACATACCTTAAAGTATGATCTAAAGCGGCTCTGAAGAATCCCCCAAAAGGACTTATGAAGTACATCATACAAAAGCCCTTCAATGGCTAGCGAAAGCAGAAGGCCTTTAATTTGTGCTAGTCTGCCAACGTTGGGCATGACAGATCTAGGATATTAGGGCTGAGATTTCCATTACGGAACCAATTGCTATTCCGTGCAAAGTATAGTGATTTTTTTATGAAACTCGGTGGGGACACTAATGGAGGTCTCCTTTAACTATATTTATCACTTTCACAATGTTGTTGTTAATAGTACTTAAGTTATTTGTTGTTAAAATATCCCGCCTGCTATCACCACATTTTATTATAACTCCACACCTATCACTTTTATTTACACAAATATATTATCCTTAAAAGGTTCGCATGCGTTTGTAATACCTTAATATACAATTATTAATTAATTAATTAATTAATTAAGTAAAACGCGTTTATAAATGTCTTCACAAACGTTTGCACATTTCACAAACAAGCAGAAATAACAATGCGTTGGCTTAGTTCGCAAACGTGCTAAGTCCATTTTTTTTATTTTTCAGGAGGGACAAAAAACAGTCTAACTTTTTTTGTTTTCAATATTTTTCTAATCTGTAAATGCAGTTTTATTCCTTAGTTCGTCTTGATTTAGTACCAATATTCGGCCAATTTCCAAATAAAGCTGTTGCAGACTTATAGGCTCTTTTAGGACTTACCACATTTTCTCTTTAAGATTTTATTCTTTTAATGTGGACTTAGCACATTTTCTATCAAACTTTTTTTCCATTATTTTTTATTGTTAAGATTTAATTGTTTAGTTTAAATATATTTTATTGTTTTAAAAGGAATTATAACCTAATACAGTTTTATATCATTGCTATTAACAAAAATAACTATTTTAAGTCGTAAATTTATGTACCATTTATAAAAGAAAATAATTAAAAGCAAGTAAAGAGGTATAAGTTTGGGCGAAACCGAACTTTATATACCCGGCGCAGGTATCAAATACTGTCATAAGCAGGGGCTTTTTTCCCCGATTTCAAACGTTTTCGATAATATCCTGGGTTAGACTCAATGAAATAATTGAACCACGTTTCGTAGAAATCGCTAAATTGGCTACCGAGATACACCTTGTAGTCATAAAGTGGGCGGTGTCACGCAGTCTTATTTATTGTTAAGAGATTGTTGTAAGTATTTACTTGGAGTAAATTAGCGTCTTCAGTTATTGAAATATCAGTTTCCGTATTTTTGAAATTTACCGTTAGATATACGGGAAGCGAATGTAATTTTGGTCCGATTTGAATAATTTTCAGCGAATTGCTTTTCCGTACCAGGTTTATTAAGTGCACCGAGTTTGGTAGAAATTGATAAATCGGTTACCGAGTTACACATTTGTGGTCATAAGTGGGCGGCGCCATGCCCATTATCCAAAAATGTATCATAATCTTATTTTCTGCTGAGTGGTTATCGCGATCATCGATTTTAAGTGAATTAGATTTTTAACAGATTTCTTAGCTAGACCCTAAATAAGGCTCGTACCGAGTTTGGTGAATGGGCTACTGAGATACAGCATTTCATAATAGGTGGGCGGGGTCACGCCCATTTTCCAAAACTAATAATATTTTTTACAAAAATTCTACTTCACATACTAATTTTGAACAATTTGCATCCAATATTTACTGAAATATTTTTTTGCATTTTTAGAAAATACCTTTATATCGGAAATGGGCGTGGTTACATTCCGATTCGCCCATTTTTAATACCAACTTACCTTGGATAAAGGGCAACCTACATACCAAATTTCGTTGAGATATCTTGAGTTTCGTGTACACGGACAAACGTGTATATACATATATTTTTTTTTTGATTTTTTTGGACTTGGCACATTTGCATAACAACAAGTAAAAACGACATTACGGTAATTTTCTTTTTTGATAATGATGTATTTTCAGTTATGCTATCTTACTGCATCAAAATCTCAATTTACATAAAAAGTGGACTTAGCACGTTTGCGAACTAAATGTATGCTACCATACGTTAAAAAAAAATACACCACAAATAAGTGCGTATAATTAGGGGTATAAGTGTACAATACGTACATTGCTCTTATTAAAAATAATAATATTAGGATCGATAGGGGTCTTACTCCTGATCATAACGGTATAATTTTTTTCGGGGGAAATAATATTTACTGGTGTTATTATAGTTAAAAGTACACAAATGTAGAAAACGTATGATTTGATAATGAAAATTTTTAATAAAAAATCGCGCGATTTTCCCGATATTAGCAATAACTCGGCCCTTGTAATGTTAATACCTACCTTCTTCCCCGATTGGACTTTGTTAAGAAACTCTTCTACACCAAGTAATACATCATTTACTTCTCGATTAAGTTGTCCTAAATGTCTTGTGCTCAAAATATCACAGCGTCCAAACAAATCGTATTTAAGGTCGCCTGTAATTTCGGTCACTTTGAAAAGATTTTCTACTTCGCACTCGTTGCGCTTCAACTCAAATTCATTAAGGAAATTATTTACTTCTCCATTTGTAAACGACCGGTGATCTAAAATGCGCAGTTGTGCGTTCAATATATCTATAAAAAGGCAGAAAATAAGAATTTAAAAATAAATATGTACATCGCTTACCAACCTCGTCCCAACAGTCTCAACATTTTCCTGTCACATGAGAAATGTCATTTTATAAAACAGACGTGTTATAAAATTTAATACAATCCACATTGTCCACAAGCGAGTAACTCAGTGTTGCCAGTAACAGCGTTAATAAAATCCCATCCAAATGTAACCTAAATCCCGTTTTATACTAAAGATATAACAGAAACACCAACGTCAAACAATGATGGCTTAACACTTTTCAAGATAAGTTCGGGTTAAATCTTGCAACCCCATTCTCTACACAAATCGCTCTCCTTAACAGGATTTTGGAGTAAGTTCATGGAGTACTGGATCAGGGCCAAGTACCAAAAATACAAGATCATGCTAGAACGCGACGTTGTATTTGTAATTATTTTTGAGAAAAAAGTTTGCGAAAGCGGGTTCGTCAGCAGATCATTAGTTTACATCACAAGCGTCATTGTTGTACACTTTTTTTAAATAAAGATAAGTTAATTCAACATGACAACATAATTTTACCTAAATTGTGTGTTAAACGCTGCTGACAATAATTTTGATTTTCGTTATTTTCTTTGATTTGTTTACTTTTCTTTCGTTTTCCAGCGAAACAAAGGTGGCGTAGAACCCGCTCAAAAAATCAACTTTTTTCGCTCTCTTGTTCTTGCGCGATCTTGTGTCGTTCATTCATGGATCAGAGCTACAGTCTACTCAACCCATGAACCAATTAGAAAGATCTGACCTGTTGAGGAGAAGCTATTTGAGAAAAAAGTAGTCAAGTATTTGACGTTCGTAATTTTGATGTTTGCTATTTTGTTGTTTACATCTCTTATATGTATTTTCGTGGAGATTTATTTCAATAGCAAAAGTGACTTTTTAGAGACTTTCAATACATTATTTATTCAAATTTAATTAAAATGAAGTGTGCAGTAATCGGTTGCAAAAATACGTCGGAAAATAATAAATCGGTTAGCTTCCATGGCTTTCCGAGGGGCGGGAATTTGGTCCAAATGTGGGCGCACTTTTGTTGCGGTCAGCCCGTTGAGATAACTGCAAAAGTTTTCAGCGAGCATTTCCTCCAAAATCACTGCAAATAATATGAAAGTCGAAATGGGTAAGTAAATGCTTTACTAGATACTTATATAACTAGTACATTCTAAAATTCAAATTTATAGGACTGGCGACCGCAAACTTCTTTGGAGAGCTATTCCGAGCGTCAAGAAAAACCGGACTCACGGTAAAGAAACCTGTGGCCGTCAAGGTCAATCAAAGTTGACTATTGCAGATTTGTTGGAGGATGCCGATATAAATGCAGAACAAGAGAGTTCTACCGCGCCTCGCCTCCCGTAGCTGTGAGTATTATCGCTTGGTCCTTTGAGAAATAGTTAAACGCTTTTTGGTAAGTAAACACGCTGGTATGGTTAAGAAAAAAACTTGGTTGCACTTTTCCAGATTATTGCGAGTTGGTCAACATTATAAACTAATCTAGATCCCGATACCTGTAAGAATGGCTTCGAATTTAGCAGTCTATAATTGCATTGGTTTGCGTTGAGGGCGATCCGCTTTTTGCTAGCGTTTGATTACTTAACACTTTACTATTGAACCTTAACAGCAAAACAGCAAGTACACCTTTGTAGAACGACGACCCACCTATTAAGTGGCTTGCGGACATGATATACCAAAAAGCTTCAAAAAGTGTAGTTGGATCATGTACTCAACTGTCAGTTTCATCCTTAAGAGGAACTTACGCACAGTACCCATTCTGACAGGGCCATTACACTTTTAGAAGGCTTTTGGAAAATGCACCAAACAAATGTTTCATAACAGATTTTTTTGCACAAATGGCAATAGCGGATTCTACGCCATCTTGTTTCACTGGAAAATGAGCGAAAAGTAAACAAAGCAAAGAAAACAACGAAAACCAAAATTTGCCTAAATTATTGTCAGGCACTTTAAACGCACAATTTAGGTAAAATGATGCAACAAAATGCTTTCAAATGTGTTGTCATGTTGAATTAACTCTTCTTTACTTGAATAAAAATGTAAAATAGTGGTGCTTGTGATGTAAACAAACGCTCAGCTGACGAACCCGCTTTCCCAAACTTTTTTCTCAAAACCAGATACAAATACAACGTCGCGTTCTTACGTGATCTTGTATTTTTGGTTCATTACGTACTCACAGGCCAACCTAATATTACCGGCGTGAATTTTTCTACGCACGCACGCAAGTTCTTCACATTTGAGTAACCGAAATAAATTTGCGTGCGTGATTTTTCAGAGTTGCATTTCTGTCCAATTTCAGAAGTTGAGCAAAATTTGAGCATAAATGCAGAATAGCTTCGATTCCCAAATTAAAGAAAACGTAAATCTCAAAAGATTTAACGTCAAATCTCGTCAGAGGGCTAAATCTTCATTAAATCTCACAATGGATACATAGTATAAAGTTAGTTGTAGCTTTTTGACATAATTTTGGATGGGTTATCTGTCCATAAAGTTACAACCAACGTAAAGTACCAACTTAATTTTGACTATGAATATGCCCCAAACCAGATTTTTTCTTTTTTTTTTGAAAATAGGCGACTAACGATAGTTTTAAAAAAATATCGGCCACTATCGATAGTCGCGACTATCAATAGTTTGCCACTACTAGGCTGATATGCGTGTGACAGGCCAACCTAATATTCACGCACGCCGGGAGTTTACTGTCAAAAATTTCTCATGCATAATTGACCGGCATGCGTAAAAAGCTAACTCAAATTCCAAGATTTGTGTTGCGTGACATTTCGATTTGACGTCTGTGCTCTTTGACATTTTGGCGCGACAATGAAATTAAAAAACACATACGGGGATCGATAGAGAACATCGAGGTGAGTATAACGGTATATTTCTTTTCTTGAGGAAAAAACGACTACAATAGTTATTAAGACTCAAAGTTCAAATTATACAATGCAAGATGTATATGCATGAGAAATTTTTGACAGTAAACTGCCGGCGTGCGTGAATACTAGGTTGGCCTGTCACACGCATATCAGCCTAGTAGTGGCAAACTATTGATAGTCGCGACTATCGATAGTGGCCGATATTTTTTTAAAACTATCGTTAGTCGCCTATTTTGAAAAAAAAAGAAAAAATCTGGTTTGGGGCATATTCATAGTCAAAATTAAGTTGGTACTTTACGTTGGTTGTAACTTTATGGACAGATAACCCATCCAAAATTATGTCAAAAAGCTACAACTAACTTTATACTATGTACCCATTGTGAGATTTAATGAAGATTTAGCCCTCTGACGAGATTTTACGTTAAATCTTTTGAGATTTACCATATAACATTAAATCTCGAAAGGCAGTAGATTTAAGTTAAATCTTCGTCAAATCTTCAATAATATTGATCAATAAGTACAATTTGTTGGATGTGGCAACCACAAATTCACATGCCATAGGTCAAATGACATTTGTGTTTTCAATATACTACAGTTGAGGACGTTGAAATCTAGCCTATCATAAAAACATGAATTTTCGTATTTTTAGGGATTTTTATATTTTTGTTAGTTTGGGAGGAAAATTAGTAATGCATATTTACATAACTTTGGTTGTAATAAATTAAGAAAATATTATTTTAAAAACTAAAAATTTAGAAGAAATGTTTTATAGTAATATCATGCAGAGTCTTCTCCGCTTTCTATAAGTCATTTACGTGCTGCGACAAAAAATTTATAAATTTGGGTAATGGTTCTGCTTCGATAACATTGCACCGAACATCCTCTAGAACTCAGTTCGTATTCATGATATGCCAAACGCCCACGATTGGATTTTCGGTTCCCCCCCTATGAATAAGAGAATTCTACAAAAAATTTTCTTTCCGCAAATGTTTTTTACCGTTTTGATAATTTTTCTTAAATTCGGGAATATGATTCGGAATATGGTACCATTCTTTACACTTTCCAAACTATATATTATACATACTTATTTACCACGAATAAGAAGCCAATAATATTCAGAATTCATATAATGAAATTCCGCTTGGTACCTTCCTTTTATCTGTCTGTATATCAATGTCCGCAACTGTATTTATAAAATCATACATAAGCAAACGTCAAATATTTGAAAATGTGAACGTCAAACATATCTCGTTGTGGTAATGGAGACGGTTGTGATTTAGCAACTGGACTTATTAAATCTTAATGGATAAATCTCTCAATGGAGACATAGTATTAAAGGCCAATTTCAAATGATTATTTAAACGGCACTAAAGTTTAATTGTGGATTGTTGTTTAAATGCCATTTAGCTTTCGTTAGTCCCCTATCAGATACGTTAAGCTTGAAAGCAATTTTTTTTCGCATTCTCTTTTGTGTTTTCTATTTGCTTCCACAGGCGTCAACTTTAATTGAATTCAAGTCCTTGGTTCTTTAAATGGGAAGCAACGAAAAGATCAAAAGAGACAAGAAAACTTGAAACGAATTGACGGTACGGAGGTATCTGTACTCTTCCCCTCTCTTCTCACCTCCTTCGCCTACGAACGAACAGACTTGAAAGCAAGACTTGACGTGTCTGAAACGGGACTTAGGTTTCAGATCAACTTTGTTTAAATATACCAAACAATTGGCAGCACTACTGCTTGTTCCTTGAAATTGTTGTTGCATTTTCTTGTTTGTTTACATTTTGTGCTGAACAGCTGATTGTTTTTTTATAGGATTTGGTGGGACTGATTAAACAACCTACCAATCAATCTTGGGTGTTTTGTACAAACACATATAAGGTTCATTCCTTATCTTTTTGGACTAAAATCTGAAAAGTGTCAAAATGCCAGAGCGTAAGCAAAATGCGCTCACTAAAAGAGAATAACAGGAAAAGTAAAGGAACGCAAAAAACCAAATTTTTAGTCCAAAGAATGGCAGCAACAAAGCTAACGTCAAATAAGAATGGAAATGTATGTACAAAACACATTCACACACAAGCACAAGCACAATAAACACTTACTATATCAATTATTTTTTGCCTCCTTCCCATTTCAATTAACTTTTTTTACTTTTTAGATTATTCTCACTTTTTGCGTATTCTTTAATTTCCGTTGATTTAAATTCAGTTGAGTTTGACACTTTTCAGGATTTTGCCAGAAAAAATTCTTCTGA